GACCAAGGAGGAATTTCAGGGTGAATGGACAGCGCCAGCGCCAGAGTTCACTGCTGCTCAGCCAGAGGTGGCCGACTGGTCTGAGGGTGTGCAGGTGCCCTCTGTACCCATCCAGCAGTTTCCTACTGCAGACTGGAATGCCCAGCCAGCCACTGGGACTGGTCAGCAGCTTCCACAGTGCAGGTCACCGAGTGGGTTGGAGCCACCACTGAGTGGTCCTGAGCTGCTCTGCAGACACTTGAGCAAAGGGAAAAAGGGTGGAAGGAAAATAAAGTTCCTACGAGCTGTAAAAAAAAAATAAATAAATAAAATAAAAAAATCATTTTGTTTTAACCTTCTCCTTTATGACTAAAAAATGGTACATGGCCAACAACAAAGAAAACTAGGCAGAGGAAGGCCCATTTTTTAGTGGCTCCAGACCTGTGGAAAGTCAAATTGACAACTTCTTTGGGTTACCTTTTGCTTCAGAAATATTCTGTAGAATTCAGCAGATAATACCCAGTCAGAAGTCTCAGTAAAAGACCAAAGAAAGAAAGGAAAAGAGAAAAAGAGGAAAGGATCCAAGAAAGTCCTACTCCATCCCCAACCCCCAGGCAAAACTGTGGAAGAGTGACCTAATAGAGCAGGATACTTTTATAGCAATGTTTTCCAATTTCAGCCAGACATCACCAGGACCCTCTCATGCCCTGTATTGTCAGCTGGTAGAAGAGTGGATCTGTCCCAATCTCCAAATCACGTAGAAGTACTCATGTAGACCTCTCCACTCAGGAGCGTAGCATTTTGACTCCCTAGCCCAGGTGGCATTAGCAGGAGGCAAAGAAAACTGATCTCCAACAAGCTCCAGGAAACTGAGCAAAGTGTAGGCAGTGAAGATGAGCACCAAGGCACTAAATCTCAACATAGTGCCAACTGACCTATCAGGAAACTAAGCCCACTTCCCACCTAGTGCCAAGGAAAAGAACAAGGTTTCCTGAGGGGACATGAGTGGATTGTCCTTGCCTTACCTGCCCACCCACCCCATTCTTTCTGTCAGCTGCTCCAAGTGGGAAGCTGAGCATTTGCCTTCCCACTACAGGATGAAAATAATCTTAGGAGTTCTCAGCTTCCTCCTTCCAAGGTACCAGCAGGACCCAACAGGGAGGTGAATAGCCATTCACAGCAGAAAACCACATAAAGGACAGACTCTTTGAAGTACAACAAATCAGTAATATGAGTGTAAATTGGGAAACTGAGAATAGATACACAAAAATCAAATGAGTAGAATCTGAGGGATCCCATAGGAAATTAACAACATAGCTTGCTTACATCACTGCATTGGTGTCCCAGAAACACACACACACACACACACACACACACACACACACACACACACACACACACACGAAAACATTCAGCTATGGATGGAGTCACTCTAAATGGACTCCAAAACTGTGAGCCAGGACAAATCACTTCTCAACTAATTTGATTCATTTTTATCTCAGCAAAGGGGACAGTAATGAATGCAAACAGCTTAAGAGAAGGGTCCCTTACCTCTAGGGAGAAACAATTTAATGGCAATGGATATTTTTTTGGCTGTGGGAAACTATAGACTTCTATGGGGTGACACAAATCTTTTCAAATGCTAAAGACCTCCATCAATCATCTGTTCTGTGCCTGGGCAAAAGACATCCCATTATTTAGAGGAAATAAATCAATTTTCAAATAGGGGAAATTAAGAAAACTTTTTAAATGTCACTAAATACCATTAACTGATGGAATTTGTCTAAACAGAAAGTAAATGTTAACAGAAGACTACCACACCTTTGAAGAGAGGAGGGCATCAGAATAGATACAAGTAAGTGTGAATGCATCATGAGCTTTGAAATCACTCATAGTGATTCCAGGAAAAATTATAGCAGAACAGGGAGTATCCCGCCATGTGGGATGGGCTCCCAAAGTCCATTCCTATTCTAGGGATAAGTAAGGACCCACTACAAGGGGTCCCATAGATTTCCAAGGTCTCCTCACTGACACCCACATTCAGGAGGTCTGGATCAGTCCCATGCTGGTTTCCCAGGTATCAGTCTGGGGACCAAGAGTTTTCCCTTGTTCAGGTCTAGAAAGTAATTCATGGGATTCATGAGTTGTTGGAAAGGAATCTGAAAGCAGAAAGAGAAAGGCAAACCCAAGAGAACTGATTTATAAAGAAAATACTGTTGCCAGGTGGTGGTGGCGGTGCAGGCCTTTAATCCCAGCACTTGGGAGGCAGAGGATTTCTGTGAGTTCGAGACCAGCTTGGTCTACAAGAGCTAGTTCCAGGACAGCCTCCAAAGCCACAGAGAAACCCTGTCTTGAAAAGCCAATATGTATGCATGTATGTATGTATGTATATATGTATGTATGTATGTATGTATGCATGTATATGTACATATACATATTCATATACAAGTTATATTTTAATAAACAAAGATTTTGAAAGTTATTGTTTATTGGGATTATATATCCTATAACCCCCATTTTGAAAGAAAATGCAACACATAGATTTTTAGTAAACATATATCTATTTATATTTATATATCAATCCTACATTCAATAGTATTATATTAAGAACACTTTGAAGAAATAATATGCATTTTATGGTACACATGATATAAATAAAACAATTTTTTTATAGTTTTGTAGATTTAGAATCTGGTTTGCAAGGAAAGCTTTACAAAAATCTATGCATATCACATTAAATTTTATAGCTTAATGAAATCTAAGGATACGAACAAATGTTGCTTTATATAAACAATTATGATTTTAAAGTTTATGAAATATTTAATATACTTAAAAACATTTTAATAGGTTTTAAGATGTCTATAATACCCAGATTTATAAAGTAGTATGTACTTATTAGGCCTTAATATATGATCCGAATATTTAAATTTGTGAACTTGCACACGTATTTTAATTGGGAATGCAAAAATAATAGCTTTGCCAGCAATAAAAATTAATTTACAAAGGGAGAATAGAAAGTGGTAACAGTTCATTAGAAAATTATTTTTGAGACACCTCTGGCAGAAGATCCCCGATCCATCAGGGCCCATGCCAGCACTGAGATCCCTAAATAACTACCTTGCTTACAGACCACCAAATATTTTCAGAACCTTCCTAACAGCAACAGTCCCTCTTCCCCTAATCACCCTATCCCACCCATACCTCCAGGGTATGACCCCTGCCACACCAGCACCCGGATCTCTATCCCAATCACCCTATCCTAGGAAGGGAAACAAAACACCCAATGAAACATACACAAACACTACCACTACCACTACCACTACCACTACCACTACCACTACCACTACCACTACCACTACCACTACCAATCAATAACAACATAACAGGAATTAACTATCATTGGTCATTGATAGCTCTCAATATCAATAGACTCAACTCTCCAATAAAAGACATACGATAACAGAATGCATTAAAACACAGGATTCATCCTTCTATTGCACATAAAAAACACACCTTAAAAATCAAAGATAGATATTACCTCAGAGCAAAACTTTGGAAAAAAAAATTTTCCAAGCAAATCAACCTAAGAAACAAGCTGGTGAAGCCATGCTGATAGCCAACAAAATAGACTTCAAACCAAAGTTAATCAAAAGAGATGGACACTTAATATTCATTAAAGGAAAAATTAAGCAAGATGATTTTTTAAAATTCTTAACATCTTGTCCTAAATACAAGGGTACCCATATTTGTAAGGGAAACACTACTAAAGCTTAAACCACACACTGACCCCGAAAATTCTCCCAGAGAACCCCTACAGATGATGAACACCTTCAGTGAAGTGGCTGGATACAAAATAAATTAAAAAAAAAATCAGTAGCCTTCCTCTATACAAATGATAAATGGGTTGAGAAAGAAATCAGGGAAATAGCACCTTTACATAATAATATAAAATATCTTAGTGTAACTCTAAACAAGCAAATGAAAGATATGTATGGCAAGAACTTCAAGTCTTTGAAGAAGGAAATTGAACAAGATATCAGAAGATGGTAAGATCTCCCCCATGCTCATGGATTGGTAGGATGAACATAGTAAAAATGGCAATCTTACCAAAATCAATCTAAATATTCAACACAATTCCCATAAAAATTCCAACACAATTATTTACAGACCTTGAAAGAACCATATGCAACCTCATAAGGAGGAGCAAAAAACCCATTATAGCAAAAACAATCTGCTGGAAACAGATTGTTTAAAACAACAACAAAACTGCTGGAAGTATCACCATTCCTGATTTCAAGCTGTATTAGAGAGCAATAATAATAAAATCCACATGATATTGGCATAGAAACAGACAAGGTGATCGATGGAACCCAACTGAAGACCTAGATGTTAAACCACATACCTATGGACACCTGATTTTTTTAAAGAAGCCATAAATATACAATGGAATAAAAGAAGTCATCAACAGCTAAATTCTACATGGGAGTTACCTACACCCTCTGTTTATATGTTACAGATGTGTAACTTGGTCTTCTTGTGGAACTCCTAAAAGTGAGAGCTGGAGCTGTCTCTGACTCGTTTGATGGCTTTTGGGCCCATTTTTCTCACACTGGGCTACACCATCCAGCTTTAATATGAGGTGAGGTGCCTAGTCTTATCACAACTTGATATGACATGTGTGGTTGATTCCATAGGAGACCTACCCTTTTCTGAAGAGAATCTGAGGAGTAGTGGATGGAGGAACAGAGGAATTGAGGGATGGTGACTGGGGGAATAGGAAGGAAGGAAAATGCAGTAGGGGTATAAATCATAGTAATAAAAAATGATAGTAATAATAAATTTATTTTCTCAATAAAAACATAAACACAAATTTTTTGACACAAATAACATAAGAAAACAACCAAAGATACATGACAACAATTATCATGGACATATATGACATAGTTACAGGAAATTAGGTTCAGCCTATTTAGAAAAATGATAGAAAGTTTGTCTCTTTTTTTGTGTGAGAAAGGCTTAGTATCACAAACGGTTGAAAGGTGATTTTGTAGAACACAGTTAAAGGAATCTCTGTCTCTCTGAGAAGGAAGTGTTTTTTGTTTGTTTGCTTGCTTGCTTGCTTGCTTGTTTTATTTTGTTTGTAATTGTGTCCCAGGCTGTTTTCTTGGAAGTAGGAAATTAATTTGGATGTTAACTTCTTAACTTTTCCATTTCCATGACAAAGCATCATGACCAAGGCAATTAATAAAAGAAAACATTTAATTTGAGGGCTCAAGGTTCCAGAAGTTTCCACGACTATCATGGAAT